CCCACTGTTGTTTTATACACTTAAAGGCAATACTCTTAGATGCATAAATGTCTACAATCATTGTTTTTTCTTGATCTACTGTTCTTTTTATCAATATGTAGCATTCCTCTGTGTGCTTTGTAACTTCTTTGCTCAGTCATTTAAGCATATGACTCTTGATTTTGGCTCAGGTCACAATCTCAGGGTCATGAGATTGAGCCCCATGTGGGGCTCCACAATCAGCACGGAATCTGCTTGTCCCTCTTCCTCCGCTCCATACCTCCCCACCCCGCACCCTCGGCTCATACTCACTCTCTCTTAAAAAAAAAAAAAGAAAAAGATCATTTAATTAGTGGTATCTGGATGGCTCAGTCAGTTAAGTATCCAGATCTTGATTTCAGTTCAGGTCTTGATTTCTGAGTTCAAGCCCCTTGTTGTACTCCACACTGAGCATAAAGCCTACTTTAGATAGATAGATAGATAGATAGATAGATAATTTAACTTATGTTAAAATAAATCAGATTCAGAAGACACATTTTCTTGTTATACCTTTTATTTATAAAAAATTTTTCTGTTCTTTTATTTTTAATTCTACTATTTTTTGCCTTATGCTTAACTCTTATTGACAATATATTCTGCATCTTGTTTTTTAATCCAACTGAGGTCAGTATTTTAATCTAAGTTTAATATATTGCCTTTCCCATTATTCATACCATTTTGGTCAACATTTTTCATGGTGTCTACATACCTCTTATTTTTCCCCACCCTTTCCCCTATTCTTTTCTATTCTCCACTAGATATATTGAGAGTTTTATACTTAAGATTTGAAACTTACACATTGTTTTATTCCCCTAGCATATTAACAGCCATACTTACACTTATATTTTCCTGTCATCTTCTTAAGCTTATCATTATCTGTATCTCCTCAAAAAAAAGACACTGCCCCATCACCACTATGAACAATGCCAACTCCACCATTTGTAGCTGGGGGACTGGTGGTGGTGGGCAAGAAGCCTCCAAATCTGAGAACCTCTAGTGTAATAATATGTATCTCTGCTCTTTTTCTGAGGTGATCTTCTACTCAGGTATAGGTAATGTGGAGGAAGAAGGGGACACTCAGAAGCTAATCAGTACCTCACCAATATTACACTACAGCACCTGCCTCACCACCACCCCATGACTCGTAACAGGCTAAGCACTGCTCAGAGTGGTGATGGAGCAATGATCCACCTAGAACAATAAGAGAGAAACAGTTACTGAAAAATAACCCAAACCACCTCATGATGCCAAATCCTCTTTTATACTGAACAGCTGTTTCACTCTTACACATATATTCAGATTCCTCACAGGGAAGCATTATAGCATTATGACCAAGAACATAAGTTCTGGAGTTTCAACTGATCAAATTCTGAATCCCAGGTAATCACTCAACTACTCATGTAACCTCAATCTCTCCAAGCTTCAGTGTGCCCATCTTTAAGATGTTACGACAATTCTTATTTCTTAGAAGATTACTGCAGGGATTAACTGAGAAAACGAAAGAAAGTATACATCCCTGCATGACACACAGAAAGCATCCAATGTCAGGTATTATCAAACATGTTTTATGAATTATGGAAAGACTAAATCTCTAAAATGCACTTCTGTCCTAAGGATGTATTTCTAATTCTAAATGTGTTGAGGAAGTCAAAACTCCAGCTTGAAGAGCACAGCATACTGGGGCACCGCGTTGGGAATGCAAGCAGAAGGTGCATGGCAAACAACATCCAAGCTCCAGTGCCTAAACATCCTAGAGCCAGGGCAGGTCTTGACTTTGTGCTGCATCCGCTATGAACGAAGAGCCACTTCCTATAAACTGTCAGTAAGATAGAGATAACATTCACCTATAACAAATAGAATTCTAAAATTCAATGTCCTGAAGAAGAAAAAATTGTACTACTTTGAGGCAGTAAGGTGTAAGTAAGGTATCAATTATTTTAATTTATTGAGAAAAATCAGCTTTGCACAGTTTTAACTCAAACAGAAAACAAATTCACTGGTAGGTCCACAGTATGTCATCAAGACTCAGAAACAAGCAACTGGGCATAAAACAGAAAATTTCCTCAAAGTATTATAACCAATATTGAAAGTCCCAGGATACTACTGAAATTGGCCTCAAGTACCAACCAAAAGTCATATGCTAATTAAAAACGTCACATAATTCCCCACAATGAAAGCAAAAAAAAAAAAAAAGAACAAACTTATCTTGCCTAATAAATACCATTAATCTGAGGATCACATAAATCAACAGAAATCAAAATAAATAAATAAATAAAAGGGCTTATAAACTGTAAGGTAAGTAAAAAAAATTTGAAACCTATTGATATTTAGTATTTCCCTCTAAATTCAGATGAGAGCTACATAATTAAACATCTATTCTAGACACAACCACTTTAGGAAGTTAGTCCTATTATTATCCCCATTTACAAATGAGGAAATGAAGGATTAAAGAGGTAAAGTAATTCATCTAAGATCACATAAGTAATAAACACAGATAGCTGCATTCAAATTAAGGTCTGACTCCAAAGCCCATGCTTTTAACCTCTATGTTACTAAATCCAGACCACCTCCGTGAAGATCAACAGATTAAAAGGGATGTTCATGGGGCGCCTGGGTGGCTCAGTTGGTTAAACGGCTGCCTTCGGCTCAGGTCACGATTCCAGGGTCCTGGGATCAAGCCCCGCATCAGGCTCCCTGCTTAGCAGGGAGCCTGCTCCTCTCTCTCCCTCTGCCTGCTGCTCTGCTTACTTGCGCTCTCTGTCAAATAAATAAAATCTTAAAAAAAAAAGAAAAAAAGCAGGGGGAATGTTCATAAAATAAAAGCAATTCCAGAAATACTATATATTGTACAATGCCCAAAACAAAAGGGCCTCATTCCCTGGACCAGGAACAAGAAGAAAATCAAGTCTTTTGCCATAGCCCATTTTTCCTTAAAGGATTCCTAAAAACTCCTTGATCCATGTTCTTTTTCATACATGTTTAATGTAGTGATGTGAGAGTTAGATCAAAGTCTAGGGCAGCTGCAGAAATGAGGACAGTATGAGTTAAGAGCAAATTATAAAAAAAAGTGAGAATTTTCCAAGAGCTGGTTCAAACTGCCTCTTATTGGGCTCTAACATGAGAAAGATGTTTGGGAAAAAGTGACCCCAGTCAAATGTCACCAGAGTAATTTGAAAAAAAAAAGCACATGCTAATAAATCACCATATCACATTCATATAATTATCCTATACTCAAAAGATTATTGGCTTTTACACTGTTATATTTTAGGATGAGATGGTCATACTATAGCAGTTGTCCTAGTGACTCATAGGGGTAATCACTGAAACTCAGTTACTCCCACATGGCTAAAAACAAATATAAGAACCATTCAAGAATGACCACAAATACAGTCTTTATTCTCTATGGTACAAGAAATCAATCACAAGCCCATTTGTGTGAGGCCTATCGAATAAGAACACTACTTGAGAGGGGTACAAAGAAAAGGATGGATTGCCAAGAGGAAAAAAGTCATTTATTAGACTGTGACAAGCTTTTAAATGTTTACATTATCATTAAACCAACTGCCTGGTTCTCCGATTCACACACCTGCCACCTCTAGCCAACACTATCACACTCCTAAACTTGGAAGTAGGCTCACCTCTAAAACACTGGCACCCTCTCCTGACCCTTGTGTAGTACTGCATGCACACCAGTTACTGGGGTGAAAAACTCTAATAAAGGCATGAGTTAGTAACTTTGCAGGTAACATTTTCCAGAAAATTTTATATTTGCAATTCCCTGGATGAACATAAAACTAGATGAATTTATTTCTTATAAAAATAAGAAAGAGCAGATCTTCTAAATAAAATGTATGCCAGTGGAAAGAAAACCAACTGTGTTCTCTTAATATTTTCAGTTTATATATATCAACTGATTTTAATACAATAGCTACAATGATAATAATAACAGACAAAGGCTTTACTGTGTGTAATAAACTAGTTTAATCCTAACAACAACCCAATGAGGCAGACACTCCTATTATCTTCGTCTTACAGATGGAGGGAAAGTGAGGCACAGTGAACTTAAATAACATGCCCAGGATCACATACCTGGAAGTAAGTGGTAAGGCTGAAGTTCAAACTCAGCAACTATGACCCCAGAGCCAAAACCTAATTTTTATCTAAAATATCCCTGTGAGGTAGAATGAGGTTTATATCCTGATAATAAGAAACATGACTGAAAGCAAGTCTGAGTTGTAAGGAAAATTAAAATACATCAAGTAAATCTCTCATCATCTGAATCTCTCATTTTCAATAAAGTCCCAACCTATACAAAAATAAAATATTACATGAAAGAGTTTTGGTCATTTCCCCATTCCTCCTCACTAAAGGATTCTCATCTTCCGGTTCTATAACGTTTTTATGCATTTTTACTTCTCATTCCTCTTTTCCATCTAAGTACGCCCCTATTTACCTATCCGGTTCTTTAAAAGAAAAAGGAAGACAGGCTAAATACTCTACAATTTCTAACTTCATTTTCAAACAGGATATGAAGGCACATTGTCTCATGATCTGAAGTTCAAAATGAGATCTATTTAGAACATTTCTAGATTCTGCAGCTTGCCTACATAAAGCTAGTCATAATATCAATAATCAAGAACACTTAATAATCTAAACAAAGGGTAACCGAGCTCACTGCCATTCATGATTCACCATGGATTTGGATTTCTTTTTTACAACTTTTACAACATTTCATGTTAAAGTATACTTGGTAGTACAAACTTAGGGCAAGTTCAAAGAATTAAAGGCATACATAAACTGCACCAGATCTAAGAAATGAAACAAGATAGTTCTATTTTAGTACAGTATGACCACATTGCTAAACAATTATTCATCACATTATTCATATCTCCTGAATCTAAGTTTGACAAAAACTGCACAGGTGACACACATGAAAAGGAGCCAAGGAACTGACTGCCTGCCAAAGCCAGAATTCTTCTTACCTCGGTCTGCAGGATGGCAGCCCGCTGTTCTTTAGCAGTCAAGGACTCCTTCAGCACTTCAATGTGTTGCTTACTGTCTGAGAACTGGTTTGTGAGTGTTTCTAGCTTTGTCTGTAAGGCCAGTAGTTCTGTGTCCTTTCTGGATAGCTCCTGCTTCACCTGACCAATCTAGAGAAGATAATAAAAACTGTAAGGAAAAAAGAAATGAAACAACCACCTCTGATCTGGCTCTTTGACAGATCTGAGTCACAAAATATGAAACTAAAAGCATTAGTTTTCTGACAAAACATAATTCACTTTTTTCCATCATCTAATCTTGGATAACCACCCACCACACACACACACACACACACACACACACACACACACACACACACAGTTTTTCAACAAATAGGGAAATTCCAGTTTTCATTTATTGCATCTCCTAAATACTCTTCAAAATCCCTTAGAAAAAGAATAGAGGGAGAAAAATCCCAATTCAATTAGACTACTATGCGAGAGCAGGAAGCATCTGAATACCACTGCGCTGATGAAACAGTTTTCATTTTATTAAGTCAGACCTCTTAAAACATAAAGCAGGATTAGTGTAGATACAAAACAGAAGGGAAAAAGAAAACCTCCTAGCATTGCTATTTAAAGTTAAATTTGAAAGCTGCTGCCAAACAAAAGTTTATATAAAATCCTTATCTTAAAAAGCCACATTTACTGTTATGAGGCATTATAAACCTGTGCCTCTTAGAAATCATATAATTTTGATGAGTTAGAGATACTGACCTTAAAAAAGATTCCACCTACAAAGTTGTATCATCTACAATGTCTACTAGCTAAAGGTTTTAAAAAGCATATGACTTAAATGCATAAAGGCTCATTCTGTAAGAATCAACATGTGTAATTTGAAACTGAATTACTGACAGAGGAATCCATAGTCAAGAGGTGCCATTCATTCTCCCATAAATTTCTCTCATCTTAACTTAAAAAATTTTTATTTCAAACATTTCATTTACATTTCTACTGTTTCTAAGAATTTTCTAAATAGTCTCTTATTCTAAATGTACACCAAATAAGTAAGTATCAGATTTGCTTTTACATTCTATTCTGTCTCCTGCCTAGCAAGGTAGCTATGCACGAGAAGATCAATTATTGGAAATATAAATCTGACTGAGAAGTTCAGTAATTTCAGTATTACTGATGAAAGTTCTCTGTATTTTTTCATTGATGTATCTATAGTATTTTCACTATAATAATCTTAGGTATAAGGGACAATTTGGGGAACATTTTCCCATAAGGAGGTATGAAATAAATATCACTTTAATTAAATTAGACTTTTAAGGAGTGCTAAAAATAAGTGTCTAATTTACTCTTCTTGTTTAGCAAGAAGATAAGCATTTTTCCCATATGCATGAAAATTCTATTTGCAGATTTAGTTATTCATTCATTCCACAAATATTTCTATATGCATACTGTATGCAAACTACTTGAGGGTACTAAGAACATCAATGGAAGATGACTATAAATGGCAGCTATCTTCACCCTATAATATAAATATGTACCCTGGAGTTACCTGTAATGTAATGCTGTGGCATCTTTCATGACATTCCTTCTTCCAACAAAAAGTACATATTTATATTATTCCATCCTTAACATACAGGTTGCACTAAAAACATACTTGTGTATGAATGAATATTCAGGAGAAATGTTTAAAATGTTATCACTTCCTTAACTAAGGAACTACAATGGTTTAAAGATTACCTCCAATCACATAGTTAAAAATAGGTATAAAATCCCTGTTTCCTCATCATCTACTTTATTAAAGAATCATCAAATACTGCTATATTGACCACAGAGACTGAGAAAGGGAAGAAAATATTCTAAATGGAAAGCAGAGTTTAGAAGCACACATTTTCCATAAAAGTTGGGATCATGAGGCTTTGTAGTCATTCACACCTAAGGATAAGTGTGTCTCTGAGTATTTACTTCTCTAAACCTTGGTTTCCTGACCAGTAAAATGGAGAAAGTAAACGGACGCTACTGTACTGTTTGGAGATTATATAAAATAATGTATGGAATGTACTTAGCCTGTTGTCTGACACAACAAAGAAATATTTACAATAGCTAAAGAAAAAAAAAAGATAAAGTTATACATCAACTACTCCTCCAGAAAATACACAGTTACCATAAACCAAGTAAGTGCCTTATAGACAAAATATTTCACTTTACTATCTGTACTATAAAGGGGCCCATAAATAGCAAAAACATCAAGTCAGCACAAATTTTGTTTTGTTTTGGTTTGGTTTTTTTAATGCTGTGTTCCTGTCTTATCCCACAATTATTTTCAGAAGCAGTTTTTTCCCTGACACTGGTGTGACATACACGCACGTGGCCTAGTACAGGGCAGAAGACGGAAAAGCTCATCAGCACAGGTTCTGGAACCAGACTGCTTCTGTAAAAATCAAGCTCTGCCTCTCACCAGGTATATCACCTGAGTACCACTCTGCTACCTCAGTTTCCACATCTATAAACTGGGGTTGGGTGATATACCAACCTTGGCAGGTTATAAGTGTTTGAGTGTTAGCTATTTTATTATTTTTTTGTTACATTTTGAAATGGAATTTTAAGTTCTTTAGACAGAAGATTAAACTAGATTTAGAGATGTTTCATGCTAATTCTAATTGACTAGCTAACTCTAAATAAGCAAATCACTTTCTACACACCTGTTCTTTAAAAAGTAACATTTGTTGGAAAATCACCTAATGGAGACTTAAAGTTAAATACATATGAACTTAAAGCACTTTACTCAAGAATTTCAAAATCTAGGCGAGTTGATCTTAAAAGTTCTCATCAAAAGAAGAAAAAAAAATTTTGTGATGGATGTTAACTAGACTTACTGTGAAGATCATTTGTGTGTGTGTGTGTGTGTGTGTCTCAAATCATTATGGTGCAAATCTGAAATATAAAGTTATAAATCAATTATACCTCAGTTTAAAAAAAAAAAAAGGATTTCAAATTCAAATAATCCCTAGAACGGAGAACATCTGCATATTCTTATACTGAAGAAGAAATGGAGATCACCATTCATATAAAACAATTACCTACAAAAAGGAAAGGAGAAAAAACACGCTTCGAAGTCCCATCCATACAATGACAAAAGCAACAATAAAGAACCAGAACAAGTGAGGGCTCACTGCACACAAAGTGACATATGGGTCAAACTGGTGAACAGGAGTCAGTTAAAGAGCAGAGCAGGCTGGTTAGTGCTAGTATTGGGCAAAGCTGCCAATCAAAGAGAATGAAAGTATAAGCCACCCAGAAGCCAGAGCTAGCAGGATCCCACTGTGGGATCACTGCACACAAAGAGTAAATCTTACGGCAAAGACCTCAGCCTGAAGACCAGCCGCTCTCTTTTTCAGCTCCTCCCCTTGAGCCTCTTTCGAACTTAGTTCCTCCTTCAGTTGCTCTACCTGTCACGACATTGTTATTCTTTTTCACTTACGTGTCAATCTAGGTCTTACTATCTGCTTTTCAGCCAGAGCAGTAACTGGAAATAACAATAACCTATATAACACAATCAAATCTGTTCCCCTAATTCCCTCTTCAAAGAACCCTAGATAGTTTCTCTATTTTCACATTTTTTAATGGACTTAAATGTGCCAATCAGCAAATGGAGACTGTATGGTAGTATATTTTCTTCTCAAATTAGCGTGAAAAATACAAACTAATAGAAGTTGAAAATGTGAATTTTTAAGTTCTAAAATTAGCATCGATTTTCAGTAGTCATTGATAACAGATTCTTAAAATAATAAAGGAATATTCTATTGACTTTTATGTCAGGTATGAGTACCACAGCAAGAAGCTAGAAACTGGAGAAGAAGTTAGAATAATTGTGTATCATTCCTCTACAGTTTTCTGTTCTGAGAAACTGGGGAACTAATACAATTGGGATGCGAGGGGTACTTATTTACAGCTAATATTATGTAATCACAATTGTGATTTTTAATTAAACCAAAACAAACTTGGCAAATTGATAACTATAATAAACTAGATCCTCCAATTTGCCCAAATAGTTTATAGAATCAAACTAAATGGCTTTGGATCTAAAGAAAAAATATTGTGACTGAGTTTCTAAATATGGACTGACATGCTGCGCTGGTATGTTATCTTACTGTAGATATATCTGAAGTGCACACGGGAAACAATAAACCTGATACAAACGCATCTTCTCCAAGGGACAGAACAAAGGGCTTTTCTTTATAGAACTGTATTTGAGGGGAACATAGGATATTATTTAAGCCATTTCAGGGAAAAAAAAAAAATAGGTGGGGGAACTGGGTTCAGGATTTTGGCTTTTAAAATACTACACAAGAGTTAAAGAACTTGGTGTCTCATGTAGTGAGAAAAATTCAATTTGGATATAATTCTAATAAATCATCTCAGAAGTACTGATAGATATAAATCTTAAACTGTGACAACACATATCAGCCTCATAGGAATAATTTTCTTTTAAGTGAAAACTTGAAATAACAATACATCAGTAATTCTGACTTTAGTTCTAGGAAAGTTGCATTTGAAAGAATTCTAATTATCCTTCCCTGAAGTCTGATAAAACACTGTGAAGTTCTTCATCATCACTAAGGAAACAGAAATATGCATCAATTTCTCAAAACTCTTTTAAAAACTATAGTATCACACACCATTACCTTATTTTTCATAAATTTAGAATGGCTCCGATAGACCTCCATTTGTTTCATTTCTTCCTCCCGTTCTTCAGTACTCAAGGCCCCATTTGATTTCAGCATCTGAATTTCCTCTTCCAAGTCTCGGAGCCCACGCTCCATAGAGGATATTTTTGAATCCTGAAGACAATGGAAGATTTAGACATTAAAGTATTCACAACGAATGAGAGACGTTGAAAAACTAAGTCTTTACAATGGTGAATTTAATAAAGATAAACAAATAAAGATAGCATTTGGTGCCTTGCTTCTAAATTATATCCTTTATGGCCACTTGGGTGAAAGGAGGAGAGTTCATATCTAGAATATGATTTTTCCTCTGTCCCTTCCTCCAGTCTATACCGTTTTGCTTAAAGTTGAGAGAATTATCTTCTTTAAAAAGTAGAAGAAATGGAAAGCTAGTTAAAGTTTCTTTGTGGTCGGGGCACCTGGGTGGCTCAGTAGGTTAAGTCTCTGCCTTCAGCTCGGGTCATGCTCTCAGGTTCCTGGGATCGAGTCCTACATCAGGCTCTCTGCTCAGCGGGGAGCCTGCTTCCCCCTTTCTCTCTGCCTGCCTCTCTGCCTACTTGTGATCTCTCTGTGTCAAATAAATAAATAAAATCTTTAAAAAAAAAAAAAGTTTCTTTGTGGTCAATAAATTTCTAGGGAAAAATTCTATAATATTAACAGAAAAACCATTCCTAGCTACTCTATCATTCTACTCTGTGACCCCTAAAAGGTTTATTTCTCCTCCCAAAGGAAGGAGAAAAGTAAAAGTGTTTCAAAGACTTGTGCAATAATGTGTATAACTATATTTGCAATAGTATTTTATAGCATCTCATTGTAAAAATAACAAAGGGATGATTATGCTAACAATTACAGTTTATCATATTATTCTCTCTAGTTTTCTACACATTTTAAGCATTTTGTAATAATTTTTTTTAAAAAATCACTGTCCTTATAAATCATCTCTACAAATATCACCTCCCAGTAGAATATTCTTCTATATTCAATTTCTTGGTTTAGCTTGTCACAATATCTAGTTTATCCCCTAGTTTACTTTAGATATTATCAATTGCAGAAAGATCACATTAGATGTCAATTACAGAAAAATTCCTACATAGAATGAACACTTTCTAAAGTTGTATATGTTTCATTCATCTAACAAATAAAGAAGTAGAATCATAAATTAAGTATAGTTTTACTTTATTTGGAATTTCAGAGAAACCACTCCTTCAGAAAGTAATTTTGAAATTACTTTCTTTTGTACTTTACCTCAAAGATTTCTGGATTGACACTCCTTGTTATCATAAATCTTAGAGCATGAAGATAAAAGTTTTAAAGGATTTATCACGAGACAAGTACAACTAGCAATATTTAGGTTCAGGGGAGAGAAGGGGGATGTACTACTTGTCCTGTGTTACCTTTAAAAATATCACAGCAAAAATTTTCCTTTACAAATCTACTCAAGTTAAACTTAGATATAGTTCAAAATTAAATGCACCAAAGTAATACAATCAAGAGATACAACAAACCTAAATTCTGAATTACTTGTTTAAAATAAGTGGGTGTACCACAGCCTAAAAAAACACACACACACACAAAAACAGTGGGCCACACTTAATCTCCCGGCCCATAAAGAATAAATACAACCATAACTTAAAGATATCATGGGCTCAGCTCCAGACCACTGCAGTTAAGTAAATATCACAATAAAGCAAGTCAATAAATTTTTTGGTTTCCCACTGCATATAAAAGGTATGTTTATACTGTAGTCTATTAAGTATATAATAGCATTATGGGAAAGAATATACATACCTTAACTTAAAAATAATTTACTGCTAAAAAATATTATCATATGAGCTTTCAGTGAGTCATAATCTTTTTGCTGGTGCAGAGACTACATGTTGATAGGTGCTGACTGGTCAGGGTGGTGGTGGCTGAATTTGGGGTGACTATGGCAAATTCTTAAAGGCAACAAATCTGCTACATCAATTAACTTTTCCTTTTGTGAACAATTTCTCTATAGCAGATGATATGTCTGACAGCATTTTACTCACAGAACTTTCAAAACTACAGTCAATCCTCTCACACCCTGCTGCTGCTTTATCAACAAACATTCTGTAGTATTCTAAATCCTTGGTTGCATTTCATGGCATCTTTACGAAGAGTAGATTCGATCTTAAGAAACTACTTTTTTTGCTCATACATAAGAAGCAACTCCTCATCTGTTCAAGTTTTAGCATAAGATTCAACATCTTCAGGCTCCACTTCTAGTTCTCTTGCTATTTCTGCCACATCTGCAGCTCTTCCTCCGATGTCATCCAGGAGGGTTGGAGTCAACTTCTTCCAAACTCCTGTTCAGGTTGATATTTTTACCTCTTCCCATGAATCACAAATGTTCTTACAGGCATCTGGAATGGTGAATCCTTTCCAGAAGGTTTTTTATTTACATGGCCCAGATCCTTCAGAAGAATCACTCTTTATGGCAGCTATAACCTTACGAATGCATTTCTTAGATAATAATACCTGGAAATCAAATGACTCTCTGATCCATGGGTTGCAGAATAAATGTTTTGTTAGTAGGCATGAAAACAACAATAATCTCTTTGCACATCTCCATCAGAGCCTTTCCGTGAGCAGGTGCATTGTCATGAACAGCCATATTTTGAAAAGAAACTCTTTTTCTCTGTAGTAGGTCCCAACAGTGGGCTTAAAATATTCAGTAATGTTGCAAATAGATGCACCGCCATCTAGGCTTTGTTTACAGAGCACAGGCAGAGCAGACTCAGCATAATTCTTAAAGCTCCAGGATTTTTGGAATGGTACATGAGCATGGGCTTCAACTTAAAGTAACCACTCCATTAGCCCCTCACAAAAAGCTCTGAAGCCAGGCACTGACTTCTCCTCTAGCTATGAAAGTCTTGAATGGCATCTTCTTCCAACAGAAAACTGTTTCATCTACACTGAAAATCTGTTGTTTAGTGGAGCCACCTTCATAAGTGATCTTATAAGGTCTTCTGGGTAATTACCTTGCTGCAGCTTCTCCCTCCGTACCTGCTGTTTTACCTTGCACTTTTATGTCATAGAGTGGCTTCTTTCCTTAAACCTCATGAACCAATCTCTGCTGGCTTCAAACTTTTCTTCTGCAGCTTCCTCACCTCTTTCAGCCTTCACAGAATTGAGAGACTTAGAGCCTTCCTTAGATTAGGCTTTGGCTAAAGGGAACATTGTGGTTGGTTTGATCTTCAATCCAGACCACTAAAACTTTCTTCATATGAGCAATAAGACTGTTTCGCTGTCTTACCATTCATGTCTTCACTAGAGTAGCCACTACTAATTTCCTTTAAGAACGTTTCCTTTGCCTTCACAGTTCAGCTGTTTGGTGTTAAGAGGCCTCAGCTTTGGACCGGTCTTTCTCACTAAGCTTAATCATTTCTAGCTTTTGATTTGAAGTGAGAGACATGTTACTCTTTTCACTTAAACATGTAGAGATCATTGTAGGGTTATTAATTGGCCTAATTTAATATTGTTGTGTCTCAGGGAATAGGGAGGCCTGAGGAAAAGGAGAGTTACAGGGGAATGGCAGGTCAGTGAAGCAGGCAGATCACACATATTTATCAAGTTTGCCATCTTACATAGGCACAGTTTGTGGCATCCCAAAACAATTACGATAGCAACATCAAAGATCACTGATCACAGATCACCACAACAAATATAATAATGATGAAAAAGTCTGAAATATTGGGAGAATTTCTAACTTGTGACACAGAGACATGAAGTGAGCAAATGGTGTTAGAAAAATAGTATCCAAAGACCTGTCTGAAGTATCATATGATCTCCCTGATATGAGGACATTGAGATGCAGTGTGGGGGGTTTGGGAGGGGTTGGAAAAGAATAAATGAAACAAGATGGGATCGGGAGGGAGACAAACCATAAGAGACTCTTAATCTCACAAAACAAACTGAGGGTTGCCGGGGGGAAGGGGGTAGGGAGAGGATGGTGGGGTTATGGACATTGGGGAAGGTGTGTGCTATGGTGAGTGCTATGAAGTGTGTAAACCTGGTGATTCACAGACCTGTACCCCTGGAGCTAATAATACGTTATATGTTAATAAAAAAATAAAAAAAAATTTTTTTTAAATTTTTTTTAAAAAGACCTGTCTGACACAAGGTTGCTACAAACCTTCAACTTGTAAAAAAAAGACAGTATCTGCAAAACACAATAAAGTGAATCACAATAAACCAAGGTATGCCTGTAAACTGTTTTCATTGTACTATCTGAAAATTCACCTTCAAGATCACTATACATCTTCCTGGAAATATCAGGATGTAGTTCCTTAAGAATAGCTAAAATACTAGGCATATGCATGGGACTAACCTGCCAATGAAATGTGGCTGACCTCTGACATTAGTTGGGGGCGGTGGGTGGATAAAAAGGGGCCAATGCCAAGAGGGACTGCATTTCTAGCACCACTGATACTCCACAACTGGTACTCCACACAAGACAAAATTGCCTCCAGCTATGAATTCAAGCTCTGCACATCACGTAGACAGCCTCTAACTCTACAAAGTCCCTACAACGCCCCAAGAAACATTATCAATCTTCTCCCCGAACTCCAACACAAATACAGAGGCAGCTCTTAACGCAATCAGCACCCTCACTACCAAATCATGTCCCATAAAAGCTTCTCCCCAGAAGGGACCAAACTATAACTCTGAAAGTCCCGAGGCAGCCACTGACTGCCCAGATAAGAGACCTGCCAGTCTACTCACTGAAATCAGGCCAGAAAAGCAAGGTCTGATATGCTCAACTTGTTCTACCACAACTCAACCAGACTGGGTTTATGTGAGAACAGTCCTTCCAACAAGGTTTCTTACTCCTGGAATGTATAATAACTAAGTAAATAAATTATTTATCATCTTACTATTCTATACTTCCCCCAGCACTGGGTCTCCCATCATTAATCAGCCATTTCCAATGAGCCTACTGGAATCCCCTGTTCCTTGCAAAATTTCCCAAACCCTCACCTTTTTTCCCCCAGAGTTTTCTCCTCACCAAAAGGTAAACCTGGCTTTCGCAAAGGATATACTTTCCCTGCATTCTCCCTGATGAAGGTTACTAACCCTCCAGTACCAGAAAAGAGCAGGGGGAAAAGTGCTGCCTCCCTTTATTTACAGCACACACTCCTTTTCACTTTACCCTCCTCGCTGCTGCCATCTAGGGACTTCCCAATCACTCCCAGCCATTTGAAAACGTCTTTGGCTCCTGGCTCACAATCAATCTTCCCTTCAAATGCCACTCCTGCCATCATCCTGGGATTTCAATGTCCTAATTCCGTGATGTCCTTAATTCCAATGACCTCATCTACTAGTCCACTTCACTACCCACTTGACAGGACTAAACTGTGGATCCTAAAACCACCCAGGACTCTCTCCCCAGGCCTGTTGCACCACCACTTCTAGTTGCTATTCGTAAACCTCACAGACATTCCCTGTCACATTTTCTCCCAACCTGTCAGTCCATTCTGAATTCTCTTTCTTACTATCCACACTACATTCTTGTCGTGATCATACAAACTACTCTCTCACCATAATCCTCAATTCATCTGCATCCCAATAATTCTGCCATTATCTACCTGACAAAACTCTCACCTAGAGCAGCACAGTAATTCTTACCTGTTCCTCCACTGCTAAAGGAAAAAAGAAAAAAAATTAGAGAAGAAGGAAGGGGAGGTGGAGTGGAGAGGGAGAAGATGGGAGGGGGAAGAAGGCAAGAGAAGGGAGGAAGAACAGGAAGAAAAGGCAGAGGGAAGAGAAAACAAAATTACATCACCTTGAAGACAGTTGGGCTTTTTTATGGTCTATCAACCATCTTCCTTTCCTCTTCCCCCCAAGACTATTCTAGACCTTCATAATTCTCTCAAGTTCATGCTATACGTGCAGCTGTGATTTCAGCAAAGCATCCACCTGACCCAGCTGGGCCACCAGAATCTCAGAATCTTTTGCTTCTTAACCAAATGGCTAAAGGTTAACACAAGTTAAAATAAAGCAACTACCAATTAATACTATTATATTTCCCTATTCTATCAAAAGGTGAGTAACATGATTTTGGAAACATAGGTACATTCATGTGTTTTATTCTTAGGTTTAAACAGGGCTCAGGAAATAAAATACACAGAGATTTGTGGGAAATGTGAACATACAATGAAACTTTTTAAGGCTCTTTGCAGGATTATGTTCAAGACTGTTAACTAACTATAAACAGCCCAGAATTCTATTAATTCAGAATTTGTTTGGGAAATCCTTTCCCCACTGGAAATAAAGATATACACAAAATATTAAGAGGAAGTCATTTAAATTCAGAGAAAAGTTCTTAAAACTATATTTGAGAAGCCTCTATTTAAATAAAACTATATACCAATAACTAAATATTCTTGTTATATTACCAAATATTAAATAAAAGCTCACAAAGTAAAAAGTGTCAATCTTTTTCAGGAATATGAAGAAGCTAAAAAAAAAGAGAAAGACAGAGAGATCCTTATCTATAAGAGTCTTTCAGCTTTTGGAAGAAAGAATACGATGTTCATAAAAGTAGTAATAGCAGCAGCTAACAGTTTGCGACATGCCAGGTACTGTTCAAAGTGTTTTACTTGCTATACCTAATTTAAACCTCAAAACAACCTATGGGATAGCACTCTTATTACCTCCTTCTATCAATGAAGAAATTGAGGTATAGGGAGGTTAGGTAACTTACTTTGTGTCATATAACTGATTCAAGTAAAGCCAAATTTTGAAACCAAGGAATCTGGAAGGCAAGCTCTTAATATAACACAGAGCTCAAAGACTTCTAACTATTCATTAACTTAAGGCAGAGTTTTTCAAAGTATGGTTCACGTTCTAAATTCTGGATCCCCCCAAGACCTTTTCAAGAAGTCTGCATAGTCAAAGCCATTTTCATAATAATACTATGACTTTATTTGCCTTCTCCACTATGTTAACATTTGCACTAAAAGTATATAAGCAATAGTGGGAAAAAAAACTGCTAGTGTCTTAGGACAATAGGCAGTAGCACCAAACCATACCAGCAGTCATTGCACTTTTCAGCATCAGACGCTCACAGAAAAAAAAAGAAAGAAATATTAGAAATTAAAAAAAAAAAAAAAAAAAAAAAAGTAAGTAAGCTCTAGGCCCAATGTGACCCCGAGGTCACATTGGCCCTGATGGTCAAGAGTCACATGCTCTGCCAGCTGAGCTAGCCAGGCGCCCCTAGAAATAAAAGTTTTAGAAGACTGCTTCCCTCGAGAATGTCCCTCAGGAAGCAGTAAAAATTATTACTTTTAATTAATCGCAACCCTTCAGAACACATCTTTTTAATATTCTCTGTGATGAAATGGGAAGGAGCTAGGCATTTCTGCCCACTGAAGTACAAAAGCTGTTCCTTAGGAACAGCACTTGTGTGCCTCTTTGCTGCATTAGGTAATTTTTTCATATAACATCACTTTTACTTGAAAGAACAATTGACAAACTATGGTTACTAGACTTAGTTAGTATTAGGCAGGCATTTTCTAAAAACCAATGAATGAGCCTGTCATTTTAAGAGAAAAAGGGGTCCTGAGATCAAAAGGTTTAAGCACAGCTGTTTAAAAGAAATTCTGGACAAGCCTTTTTGGTCCCATTTGAGTTCTCTATAACTAAAAGGGAATAAAACTGAAGTTCTTTTTAAGTGTCATTTTCATCATCTTACTACGTCTTCTCAATCTACAAAATAAGTGAAATATTATTATATACTACTTTCTAAAACTCACACAGGAAAGTGTGCAATCACTTAAAAGTATAAAGTGACTCACATTCTTTGCAGACTCTTACGTACCTTCATTTCAATAACAGTTTGCAGGGCTTTTGTTTTGGCAGAATCAGGAGCATTCTCAAATCTCCGATGCATCTCCTATACAAGAGAAGTAAAAATGAGAGTAAGTGTCCTCCTTTTCACTCTTGTTTTTTTCCTAAAGGGAGAGCAGAGAAGGATGGCGAGAGGGAATAATCGTGTAAAAAAAATGACTACCCCAGCCTTACAAGACACTCGGATCCCTGTCTACCAAAGTGGATCAGAGAACCACAAGCTGGATCAGAGAACCACAAGCTGCATTCAGGATAAAGGAGTAAAGGGTCAAACATACAGGCATATGAGTCCCTGTCAGTGAACACCTAGTTATTTAAAATTAGTCACACAGGTGAAATCAGTACAACAGATGGAAACTACAGTGCAACCCCAGAGCAGTGTGTCAATTTTCCACATGACTCTAAGACCTATAAATCAGAACTCCACACAGTCCAAAGGGAGATCAGAAATATTTCCTTTTTAAAAGGAGAAATAAAAGCAGTCATCAGTCTGCACTGCACAAAGCTACTAAAAGCATTTGTGTTAATCACATCCTTTCTACAGCACCTACTCCAGAGTAACAACCTGGCTACCTGGGATGAAAATCTCTCTCTAGCAGGGTGACAAGTAGAAAGAAAAAAGAAGGTAAGATTGTTCATGTTAATAAAATGTCATAAAAACGTAACTATTCTTTTTCCTCTAAATTTTAGTGATCTCAGAATCAGGAAGAAAGGAAGCAATGGTAGTAATATCATAATCAGGGTCTTCAAGGGTCACAGGAAAGTTATCAGACCACCTCAGGCTATTTCCTATCAGATTTCGTGAATGCCTCCGACTCAACCAGTCAACATTTCCAAAGTACCCTGGCATAGCTTCTAATGATCCCAGAGAGAATCACTTGTCAGGCTTTTGGCTAAGATCAAGTTCAGTGATCCCAGAGAATACACAGATGAATATTTTCCATATGAGCTCTACTCAACCATAATGAAAGGAATGTATAATACTTTAATTATACCTTTCACCTAATTTATTCATTCCTGCCTGGCCAGGAAGAATAGTTTGAGAGAAAACAGAAAACAGAACTGTACACAGAGTTACCTCTTCCTGAAAGAGCAGTACCACTGAACTGACAAAAGTTCTAAATTATAAACAGTCAGCATTTAAAAACCAGTAACTTTTGAACATCCACATTTACCAGTTGGCTGCTGAAACTATAGTGCAAACCACTATTAATAGATAACACTCTTTCTGCTACTTTTCTCCGTAACTCCAGGTGGTCTTAAAGCCTGCTCCATCCTTTCAGTCATTCAGGTGAAACACCTGAGTCTTAATGCCTTCCTTTTGCTTTCGAGCTATAGTCAATCAGGAAATCCAGTAAACTCTACCTTCAAAACATATCCAAAATGCAAGCACTCCTTGACATCTCCACTGTTACCACCTGGAATAAGCCACCAACAAAAATACATCTTTTAGGGACACCTAGGTGGTACAGTTGGTTAAGCATCCAACTCTTGGTTTTGGCTCAGGTCATGATCTCAGAGTCATGGGATGGATCCCTGCATCAGGCTCCACACTCAGCAGAGTCTACTTGGGACTCTCTCTCTGTCCCTCCCCCAGCACGTTCATTCTTGCTGTCTCTCTCTTTCCCTCTCTCCCTCCCACTCTCTCAAAAAGTAAATAAATAAATATATATATATAGGATGTGTGTGTGCGTGGGCACACATATATATATATATACATCTGTATGTATCTTTTAAACACAATAACAAGCTCCTAATTAGGGTCCCCACCCTTTGTCTTGCTCCCCTACAGTCTACAACAGTGCACTCACAGTGACCTTTAAGCATGAATTTAATCTTGTCTCCTCTACTCAATTTAATCTTGTCTCCTCTACTCAATTTAATCTTGTCTCCCCTACTCAAAATTCTTGTCATGGTTCCCTATCTGACTCAAAGCAGAGTCAAAGTCCCTTCAGTAGCCTACAAGACCTCATCTCTTACCATTCTTGTCTCAGTCACCAGGCTTCAGCCACACTGGACTCCTTGCTGTTCCTCAAATATGCTAGGCATTCTCCCATTCCTTAGGACTTTTATACCCAAGATGTTCCCATTGCCTAAACTCCCTTTCATCAGCTCATGGGGAGGACTCTGTCTCCTTCAAGTCTTGACTCAAATGTCTTCTCTAGATTATTAGGTTTATGAGTTGTGATAATCACACTGTGGTTATACAAGAAAATGTTCATATATTTTAGAGATGTATAGTAAACTCTGTAGAGGTAAATTACATCATGTTGAAAATTTGTTTTTAAATCTTTGGTGAAAAAAGAAAGAAAAGGAAAAAAATAGGACACATGCAGCAAGTGTGGCAAAACTTTGGTAGTTGGTATATCTAAGTGATAAGTATAGGTTTGACATTTTTCATTAAAAAATTAACATTTAATGTTAGCACAACATTCCTTATTTTAAAACTTCAAACTGACAAAAAAAGAACCCCTTACTCTACTTTTCCTTCTCCCAGAGCATGTATATTCTAACAACATATGAATGAATGATGAGTGAATGAATAACAAATGGCTACCAAACTTTCAAGAATTGGCTCTTTGAAGAGGAAATCTTTGAACCCCTTTCTATTCCTGTGCTAAATCACATACACCTCCTCTAACTTGTACATAGCCCTCCTCTAACACTTACTACATTGTATTTGGAATAATCTTCTCTAACATACCAGACTGTAAACTCCTTCAGAGCAAAACTGTCCTTTGTATTCCTCAGACACTGTGTGACATGTAAGCAATCATTAAAAATTATTTCTCCTTCATATCCATTCTTCTTTTGTTGGATGAAGAAAAGACTAAAAAAAAAATGAATAAATTATCAACTAGTTTTCTTCTTCACCTCTCTACTGGACGACTCTCTTTACCATATCAAATAAAGGACCTCCTTGTTCCTAAATCTAATAGCTGTTGTGGTCAGTCCACATCCTTTCTGAACTCCATGTAATAGCTTTTTTTTTTTTTTTTAACCATAGAGAGAGTTAAGGGAGGAACAGCTATAAAATTATCAACTGCCTTCTATTAAAGAATATCCTAGCTCTGAAGGCTTCTTCTCTGTCCTTTCCCCTATCCTAAGCACAGACAGACATTTTCTAAATTCCAACCTTGGAACTATTCTATAGCCCCACTCCTGGAACACCACCAGCCCACAGAGAAACTTAAAATGAATTAAGAAAAAAGGAACCCCTCTGGAGTAGATGCAACCTCACCATGAAACACTGGTAGAGTTTTAGGGTCCACCTGTTCCATCAGCAAGAAGCCCTTGTTTGGTTGAACATGCACACCAACCATACAAAGTAGCCCTTCCCCAATCCCACAGATTCAACTACAGTTGACTCCTAAACAACATGGGTTTAAACTGCTCTGGTCCACTTATACATGTATTATTTTTTCTTTTGTTTTTTAAAGATTTTATTATTTATATTTATTAGAGGGACAGAGAGAGCACGAGCAGAGGGAAGGGCAGACGGAGCAGGAGAAGCAGACTCCCCACTGAGTAGGGAGCCCAACGCAGGCCTCCATGCCAGGATCCAGGACCATGACCTGAGCCGAAGGCAGACGCTTAACCAATTGAGCCACCTAGGCACCCTTACATGTATTTTTTTTTTGATAAATATAATACAGTACTGTAAATGTGTTTTCTCTGATTTTTGTTTTCTCTGATTTTTTAATATCATTTTCTTTTCTCTAGTTCACCTAAAGAATACAGTAAATAATACATATACCATACAAACTATATGTAAAATCAACCATTTATGTTATCAGTAAGGCTTGCAGTCAACAGTAGCTTATTAGTAGTTAAGTTCCAGGGAGTAAGACATTCTATGAGGATTTTCGACTACACAAGGGTCAGCTCCCAACCCACTCATTGTTCAAAAGTCAACGGTCTTACCTTTCCCTGGATAACCTGGAAAAGCTATCTATCTAACCTTGTAGTGGACATCTATCACTCTTTCATGCCATGGTATCTAATCTCCCTTTTATGTTTGGGGATTCCACATTTTAAAATAGTCTTCCTTCCACATTAAAAGCTAAAAATGTCACATACTTTTTTTTCCCAGCCTTTCTTGCAGTTAAAGTCCAGACACAAGACCTAATCTCCCCTACCAGACACATACATCACTTCTTTTTAATCAGAATCTTTTAAACAGAAGACCTGGGGACAAGAACAGTGACAACTCTGACAACGAGTGGCAGAGGCAGCAGCTACCTCACGCTCCCAGTCCCAGGAATGAAAGAGGCTCCCAGGGTAGTGAGCAGTGTCAGTGGTGTCAGCCAAATGAGCTACGTGTCTGTGCCCGGCACCAAGAGCGGCACTGTCTCCACCAAACCCATAGAGGAACAGGATAGACCGGAGACTGTTTTGGCTATATAACTTCTGCACCCAGTCTCTCCAGCCCTCCTAGAGATTCTGCCTGGATGATACCAACAGTCTCCCAAAGTTGATCTCCCTAGTAGCACACTGGAAGACTGTTGCTTTAATTTAATTATCTTAATTATTTATTTCTCTACCTCTCCATTCAAACAATTCATCCACCATCACCAGTGAATTCCAGGGTGCCAAATCTAGTGGACACCTTTCTGTCCTCATCTTCCTAGAACTCTCAGAGGCATTCAAAGCAGTGGGCCACTCCCTCCTATATAAACATTTCCTCTTGACTATTATGATACCACACTCTCCTACTCTTCTTTCTCTACAAGTGCTCCTTCTATTTCTTTTGCAGGTTCTTCCTTCTAAATTAGACCCCTGAGCACTATAGTGACCAGGTCACAAGTCCTAAACCCTCTTCTCTTTTCCATCTAAACTCTCTAATCCATAACATTGCTTAAAATTCAACTGAAACACTAGTGAACTCCTAGGCCCTCTGCTCTGATTTCAGACTCATTTATCGAACTGCCCATTTGATATCTCTGTTTAGATGTCTAATAGGTAATTTACATTGTCCCACACGAAACTCTTGATTTTTCTCTTCCTTAATCTAGTCCCTCATCTGATGAGTGTGATGAGAGATTA